ATATTTGAATTTAAGGACTTAAATAAAAAATTTAAGAATTTTAAGGATTAAAGGATAATTTGAAAACCGATAATCGAACTGAAAATTCGGTTCTGTTTACATTTGATTTTTAACCGAAATCGATCTGATGTTCGATTTAGATTTTCTCGGATTTGATCATCCGGTTCGATTAACCGGATCATCCACCCCTTGATAATTGAATCTTTCCGTCTCTAAGCATTTAAACCTTAGCACCTTTTCTAGAAGATGCCTCGCCTTTTTTCTTTTTATTTTTTGACTAGGCTCATAACTGCAACCCAACAAACAACAAATAAGCCATTCACATTTGGTGTGATTCTGACACAAATTTATTAATTCCCAACAAGTGTTTCACATTTACCCAGAAGTTTCCAAATCATCACAATGTTGTTAAATTCCTAATCTACCCTTCTACATTGCCCTTTATTTGTTTTTAACTTTGTCTATGTGATCATCAAATTGAGATGGGACTCAACATTTTCAACGTGCAACAAAAAATTTTGAAACTGGGTTTTCAATAGAAGTGATTTAATCAGGTGGGTTTCGGAAATTTTGAATCGGATCAAGATGAATTTATTGAAAGGAAAAATGGGTTTTACATATAATTGATTTTATCTTCCACAATCTGTCAGTGTACTGTTTACCATATCTTTTTCTCTTGGAAAGATGCGTTACTGCGTTTTGTCACTTTTTGACTTGACTGAGAAATGCAATCTGAATGAGCAATTAATGAGCTCTTTCTCTACGTCTCTAATTTCATCATTTTCCTCGAAAGATGCTCCTCTTTTTCTTATTTGTCTTGACTTATTGGACCGTGAACATTGGGATGCGTTTATTACACTCCTTAGTCCTTAATATTCATATGCTTATCATCTGTTAATACTTTGGGGATGCGTTTAGATGGGGGTCATTTAAGATTCGTGTCATAATTTTTATTTAATTTTCAAGAATTTTTTTGTTTGGTTTATAAATAATAAAATATTACTGATTAATCTTTATTTAATTTTTAAGATTTTTATGTTTAATTTATAAATAATAAAATATTATTAAGATTTTTCAGTTTATAAATAATAAAATATTACTGATTGTAATATCTTTTTCTCTTGAAAGATGCGTTATTGCCTTCCTCTGCAATCTGAATGAGCAATAAATGGGCTCTTTCTCTACATTCCTAATTTCATCATTTTCCTCGGAAGATACCGCCCTTTTTCTTATTTTTCTTGGCTTATTGGGCCGTTAACATTGGGATGCGTTTATTATACTAACTTAATATTCATATGCCTATCATCTATTATACTTTAGGGATGCGTTTGGATGGGGTCATTTACGATTATTCCGATAATCCACACTTAATTTTCGAGATTTTTTTTATTTGGATTACAACTGATAAAATATTATGATAATCTTTTATTGTAAATAGTATTTATTATTGATAATATAGTTAATAATCAGATTACCTTGCCAAGGGGTGTTATTAAAAAATTATCGAAGCAATTTAATTTTTATACCTATTTTGCCTTTAATTAAATATTATTTCAGACAGAATTACCCTCAAATGTCTACCAAATAATTATTACCCAAATCCCCTACATTTGAGAATTTAGCTAAAACATCTTGGCCAGAAAAAAGTTTAAAAGTTAAAAAAATACCCCTAACCACCTAAGACCACCACCGGCCGATGGCAACAGTCACCATATCGACACACGATCTGTAGGATCTGGCCGGCTATGTGTCGATCCAGCTATTTTTGGTTAGATCAAAGGCTAGAAACGGCCAGGTCCACGATGACCTGGCTATTTCCAACCTTCAATCTGGTCAGAAACAGCCAGATCATAGCTAAAGATCTAGCCTTTTCATGCCAAGATCTATGGTCGTTTTACGACCACATCCTTGGCAATGAAACAACCTTATCAGTGCATGACTGGCCATATCCAATCGGTTGTGCACCATTCCAGTGACTATCAACGGTGTCGACAGTGGTGGCCAGATACCGGCAATGGCTTGGGATAGGTGGGGGTGATTTTGCTAAAATTAAAGTTTTACATGGCTAGAGTGCTTTAGCAAAATTTCATATGTAGGTGTTTAAAAGAATTAATTAAAAAATAATAACAAAATTAATGTTATATCAATAATTTAAAAGGAGACAATTTAGCAATCTATATAACGTGCCCACTCATTCACCTCCCAACCAAACATATCAATATAACATACTCACCAATTTATTCCAACCTAACTAAACACATTTTCCTAAATATTCCCAATAATCTTCAAGATAATCTATCTTTCAATTAATATAACATTCTAATAATACAACATTCTCTGAATCAAACGCACCCTATGTGTAATTTTTATTTAAACTATTGATCGCTAGAATAGTTCCTTTTCCTCTCACCAACCATTAATCTTACAAGGCCTATCCATACAAGTACCATATTCATTCATTGATTTATCTATGTGGGTATCTAAACATGGGTCGATTCAGTTATTTAGAAACTAAAAATTTAAGAATTTTACATTATGCCAACAAAAATCAATTAAAACAACAAATAAAATAAAATATATATTGTTATGTACTGCTTCACGTCTTATGATATATTAAAAGTATTTGAGTTGAACTTCCAAAACTACAATGGAGACCCCTTGCCCTCTCTTTTGACAATTAACCCAAATAACCCAGAAAAGAGCATAAATACTTTCCTTTTATTCACCAATTTGTAAAAAGAAAAAAATTGATTCAATTTCTTTGTGGAATCATTGGCATATGTGCATTCCTTTATTTTCCAAACTATAATTTGAGTTTCTATAATCATTCATCCTTAAAAAGCAATATCAAATCGACTTTAAATAAAACCAACTCTAACAAACTCTTACTTTGGAACAATTAAGAACATAACACCTAGATAATGGCAGCTTATAACAATACTAAAGAGCAATCAACATCGTTTAACTGCCCATAATTCCAAACATCACCAACAGCATAAATCTTGACTTTGTGTTCCATAAATGTTGATGTTCAGGGGTGCAAGTGGCTAATTAGGCGGTTAACTTTGATTTTGCATATTTGAGAGGTTGTAATGGGAAGAACCCTGACATAGCGCCAATGGAAGTCAAAGGAGTAGAATATTTGTGTTAACTTAATAATATTTTTTATACGCTTTTGAAATGTTAACACTGAGAAGATGTCTGTGTAATTTAATTAATTTCTCCCCAAGTTTTTCTTGAATAAAATGTTCATCTTTAAGTATCTAAAATAACAATTTACCTCCTATCATTAGTGTTTTAATATAGGTTTTTATCATCTAAGTAACACATATTACCATTAATCTCGCTAAATTAAACACCAAAAGCTCTAACCGATGATGACAACAGAAAAATTGCTATTACAAATACCTTATGAGGAAATTTCAAGAGAACTCAAGGTGAATTTTATTAAATCCAAAACTAAGTTATAACATTATGGTGGTGAGACTGTCTAATTAAAAATAAGAGTGTAAACCAATTACCTTCCTTTTGGTTTTCAAAATTGGTCCCTATATTATGTGAAATATCCATCACCTCCTTGCCGTTACATTTTTCCGTTGAATCTAACTGTTCTTTGATTTTGAACACTAAATGACAATATTACCCTAATTTTTTTTTTAAATTCAAAAGAAAAGCTTAAAAATTATGTTAAATTAATAAAAAAATATATATAATCATTTAAAAAAAACCCAAAAGTCTTAAAAATACGGTAAATTCATAAAAAAAGGGGAAAAATAATAAAAAAACCAAGTTAAAAAATTTCTTAAAATTTATATTAATTTTTGGCCTTTTAAATTGTTTTTAAAAACTTTATGTTCTAGCTAATTTTATTGAATTTTTTATGTTAAGTTATTTAAAAATAAAGATATTTTTATTAATTTTGTGGAAACTCAGTTTTAGGGGTAATTTGGCACCTCCCTGCAGCCATATCCCACCCACTAGCAAGGAAATTTGAATCTTATAGTACGGAACCAATGTTAACAACAGCAAAAATCAATCAAAATAAATAAATAATTAATTGATTAAAGCCAATAACAGTAAATTGGGTTTTACATATCCAGCCTTCACCCTCGCTCTTTCTCACAAATTAGGTATCTGAAAAAATTGAAGACATGGAGATTCATGGTTGATAATGTGATTAAAAATAATACAAATTGGTGCCAACGACCAGTTCCTCCACCCCATTTCCCTACCATTTCAGTGCCTCTCTCACTACTGAAACACACATGAGAGTCGTCATGTCATGCATCTCTGCCTCCTAGGTCCATCACTTGACCATGTCACATGCTCATCACGTTTTATGATGAGTTGAAAAACATTTTAAACTTCCAGGTTTGGTAATAGTATGATTAGAGGTGCTCAAAATCGATTAACCGATTTTGTAAACTAAACCAGTTTTTCGGTTCAAGAATTTTCCTGAATTGAAACCGAACTAGTTGAGGGGAAAACTGGTTTTGAAAAACCAAAAACCAATTTTGAACCACTTTTAATTTAATATTTTATATATTTTTATAATAAAATGGATTTTTTTTAATATTTTTACAATGAGCCGGTTCATAAAACCAATTTTGGTTAACCAATTCTCATATTCTCGTAAACCGGCAACCGAATGAAAAAATCGATTTTTGTATTTATTTGAACCGAAACTGAACCAATTTTTCAGATAACAAGAAAAATGGTTTGGTTCGATTTTTGTATTTTTTTAACACTGCTAAGTATGATAGGTCCCAAGGTTCTACCACATGTGTCTTTTTAAACAATCAATAGCGAGGTTTTGTTACAATAGACCGCCGCAATAACACAACAACATGATACTTGTAAAACAAAAACGTAAAACTTGTGATATGCACTTTTACATGGTATTATATAGCCACAGCATAGCCAAAGATAGAAAGCAAACTAATTAAGCAAATACAAGAAAACAAAGCATAGAAGGCAAAAATATCCGGAAAAGCCCAGAAAAAAACAACTAGAGTTTCACACAGAAAACAAGTACCCAAATAGTAGCAGCTTACAAGAGTAGAAACAGCAATCAACATCATTTCACTGCCTAGAAAACCAAACATCACCAACTATCAGATAGTAATTACGTTGAATCACAACACAGAAAGCATCCAGCAGTAAAAGATTATACAGCAGTAGCCTTCATCTAACATATCTAATTAAATAGTTCAGCAACATAATCCGAATTCCAGGGAAGAAAATCCAGAGAATTTCAGAATGACATCCATCACAATGTGTCCACTGGCCAGCTAAAAGGTTATCATTAGTGTGTGCACCAGAGACCAAGCAAGACTGAAACAATCACTGTCAATTTTGCAATTCTGAACAAAGCAGGTGGTATTGTCTTCCATTGTTGGTCAGCTTGAACTTCTTTCATTACTTGGTTAGCTTCTTCCCACAGCAGAGTAATAATCTTGTTAGTCCTACACCATGAGGAATATTTCCTTATATGATAAACAGTTTGGCGTGTTTTTGCAGCTTTTTGCTTTCCTTTCAGTCATCTGGGAGGGTTGCAAACTGAATAGCATCAGAAAGAGGCAATTACACAATTTAGGAATTGAATGAATAATTCATAAAAAGAATTGTGCGACCTGATGTAACACAATATGCATGGGATGGGCTGCTGCCTCAATTTGGCCTTTTATCCTCCTCAGAGAAGAAATTATCAAATGTCCCTCACACACTGAGGCAATGAGTTTTTTATATGAAAGAAAAAAGATGACTATGCCTTCACCAGATGAATGCTTGATATTAAGTAATAATAGCACTTCAAATTGCAGAACATAGAGGGCATGGCATGGATTCACCCAAATATATAGTAATGCAAAACAAGACAAACCAAATATAATGACCAATATAAATTGCAGAAAGCTAGCTTCAGAAGGCAACAAAATGTAAACTTTACCTTGAAACCATTGAACTATTATGCAGGACACCACCACAACTATACAGAATACCATAGAGAGTTCCAAGATTTGGCATATCTTCTAGATCAGGCAAACAAGAAACCCCATAAATGATGGAGTGCAAAGCCTTGAATTTCCTAACACGCTGCGCAGAATTTGCATAAGTCATTTTTTTACATTTTACCATTGGAGAGATATGGGGATGTAAAAGGTTATCCTATCAACTTGTTCCAACCTACTATAATAAGCTCATGGGTTTGAACCTAAGTTACCTTTTATATAAGAAGATTTCAACCTCCAAGTTTCACTCAAGTGATACTCGCTTCTTTTAGGACCTGCAAGCCTGCGTCAGTTCCATTCAGTAACAAATTTGGAAAACTGTAAAATCTTTTGGGGGAAGGTTTTGTCTAAAGGCGTATCGACTAAACAATTCCAAAGCTAACATCATCAAATAATATTCCAATCTCATATATGTAATCCACTTCACATTTTTCTAATACTCGTTTATCTCTTGTCATTATCATGAATCGACTTCTAGAACCAAAATACTCAAAATTTCCAATAAATATTCTATTTGCTTTACATCTGTCATATCATCAAAAACAATGACAACTTTCTAGCAGGCAAGCCTTTTTCTGATGAAGGAGGACCCTATATTGGTATGTTTATCCTTAAAATTGCACAAATAAGTTGTTTGTGCAACTTAATTAGTCCCTTGCTTTTCTCTGATTCTTCTCTAATATTTTTAACAAAGTAAGAGCTTTCAAAATGTCTAGAGATTTTATTGAATACAGCACCAGCAAGTGTGGTCTCACCTATTCCACCACTACCCCAAATTCCTATCTTGCGAAGACCAGGAAACCCAATGAATAGTTGCCATTCAATATACTCGATTCTAGAATCTACTCCAACTAGGTTCTTGTTTTCAATTGGAAGAGATTCCTCATTCAATATCTCCAAAATATTTTCGACCACTTTCTGTACAAGTATAGACTCAGACCTACCAAATAAGCAAAAAAATAATAATAAAATAAAAAAACTCAAATTTGATAAATCAAAAAGAAAAAAAGGTACATTTTCCATCCTTAGATATGTGACCAATGGAAAAAAAATCTGGATATCAAATAGAGTTTGAACCTTTGCACACCCTTAACAATAATAATTAATTTGACATATGTCATATCTCAATGCAAAAAACATTATATAGCCTAATAAAAGCTACCTAATAAAAAACTGAACTAGTAGTTTGCTATCAAATGCCATCATATTTAAACATTAACACAGGATCAGCCCTCTAAAACAAAAAAGTTTAAAAGATTGTCACTAAAACTCGATATCTTTCATGTATCCACTATTTCTTTAACATTTCTTTCCAAACCCTCAATGCCAAAGAGCTTATCACTTGTTTTAACTTCATATTATTGGTTCTTATTGTTTTTTTTTTTTTTTTCCTTTCCCAAAGAGACCAAAAAGACATTTATTTGTCAGACAACATGATTTTCTCGGTGTAAAGTAATAATCTAAGACTACACATGGCTTAGTTTTAATACAAAATAATAATTTTCCATATATCAAGTCTACCAATATTTCTATTTATCATCACATGTGGACGACAGTTGAGTGATACACAATTAACAAATATTAAATAGGTCAACCAATGATTAATGCTAATTGAAACAAAGAATCAAATAAGTCAAATGAGAAACAAAAAATCAGCAGAAAATAGAGGTCTTAACAGTTACTTGATGACATTTGAATCAAAGCCAGATAGATTGGCAGCTTCTCTCAAAGCAGTCCTCCATCTCTGCAATGTTTCTTGTGAACCCTTGAAATGTTTTTCAAGCTTAGTAAATGCGTCCCCAAAAGTCCCAATCTGATTCCTTACATGTGATGGATATACACCATAGAACACAGGGATTATAGTCTGACCATAACTGTTCTTGCATTCAAGGATCTTTACAAGTTCTTCAAGGCACCATCCTGAAGAAGAATACTCTTTTGAGAAAATGATCAAGGAAATCTTTGACCCTTCAATTGCATTCCAAAGAGATGGAGAAATTTGATCCCCTCTTTTAAGCTCGTCATCAATGAATGTATTGATCATTTGTTGACACAAAGCGGCATACAGATGGCTAGTAAAATTATTGTGGGTATCCTCACCTCTGAAACTAAGAAAAACATCATACTTCTCTTGAGGAGAAGAGGAAGAAGAAGCAGCAGCCATTAACTTCCAGTTATGAGAATTACTTGACATTAACAAAACCATAAAGAGCTAAACCAAGACAACATATAAATGAGTCTTTACGTCAATCTCTAAGCATTTCAACTTATCTCCTTGCCTAGAAGATGTCTTGCTTTTTTCCTTTTTCTTTTTTGACTAGACTAATAATTGCAACCCCAACAAACAAGTAATAAGCCATTCACATCTGGTTTGATTGTGACACAAATTCATTAATTCCACACAAGAAATTCCTCAGCAAGGGTTCATATTTAGTTACACCCAAACGTTTCCAAATCATTAATATTTAGTTAAATTCCCAATATACACTTCTACATTGCCCACTATTTGCTGTTAACTTTGTCTCTGTAGTCACCAAATTGAGATGGGGCTCAACCTTTTCAAATATGCGACCAAAAATTTTGAAACTGGGTTTTCACTAGAAATGATTTAACTGAGTGGGTTTCAAAAATGGGGTTGGATTAAGTGAAATTAGGGATTCAAAATTAAGAATATCAGAGTTTCGAATCAAGATTAACGGCAACAAAAATCAATGAACAAAACAACTTTATTAATGAATTAATTGAAGGAAAAATGGGTTTTACATACCAAGTATTCAGTCTGGCCCTTTCTCACGAATCAGGCACATAAAGAAATTGAATGAATGGAGATTTAAGGGTTTGACAATGTGATTTGTAACCATATTTGGCGCGAATGAACTGTATCTCCATTCTCCATCCCATTTCCTGCGCTTTTCTGGATATTACTACACGGAGCTCTGCAATTAGAGGAATAAAAAAGAATAATTGGTAAGAGACCAAGTGACCAACCGCCAACGCAATGAGCCTATCAAAAAGGATTAATTACATGAACACCCCTTAGGTTCGTAAAATTAACACCACACCACACCTTTGGCTGCCCCACACTATGAAGCGTGGTAGAGGCCACAAACCTTGGTTTCACCGTCTTTTCCCGAAAGGTGATTATGTAATTAATCCTTAAAATAGAATAGAGATTTAAATTAGTTTATTAAAGATATTTATTTAAATTAATTACCACTACAGTGATTGTTGATGGTTATATATATTGATATTATTTAATCTGTATATTAAAATAGAAATATAAATTGTTATTATAACAAAAAGTATTATAGCGATTTATTGAATTAGATAGATAAAATTAATTTTTTTGTGGTTTGTTCCTTGGTAAGAACACTGACCCATTTCTATTTCTCTTATTTCAGTCTTTTTTATTTTGCAGAAGAAAGAAACGAAGAAATGCAAAGTTTAAAGAAGTCTTATTTCAATACATACTATGTACTAAAAAAAATCAATGCATTGATATACTAAATTTTTTGTCTTTTAATGCCCTTGACGTAAGCACTAAGGGCATGGGTTAAAATAATCCTACCAAATAATATTATTGAAAAAAAATTACATACAAAGATTAGTGGAGTATTCGCTAAAGCTTATTCAAAGTCTCCTAACAAAAACAAGTGTGCGATTGCAAATTATAGAGTAATTTTGATATATCACTAGAGGAAGTCAAGCCATGTTAATTAATTTTATGAAATTGATATGCTAACAATCCATCTTTTCTTCCGTATTTTTATCGACAAGTGTAGAAATTGTAATATAAATTTCAAAAGAAAATACAGTTTTGTTACTTTGAGATAGGGATCACTAAAGAAGTCAAAAAGTTGTGTCATCAAATTAGTTATCTAAAAATGAAACAAAGATAAAACATGCATTCAAAATATACTAACTTCCGATGTAATAAATTAAAAAGTTAATTATATTTCATGAAAGTAATATACTAATTAGACTCTAAATTGAAGAAATAAAATATAATTTTAACCAATATAGCTGAGATCCTAAGAATCCCTACATACTTTTATAAATTATGTAGTGTTAGAACTTAAATATTGTTTGCAAGCCCTATATATATATATATATATATATATATATATTATATATAATAATATAATATATATATATATACACGTTCATAGCATGGTAGAAAAAGTTGACACATAGAATGAGTAAGAATGCTTCACAACAGAGTATGCTACGAAATGCATCTCATGTTGAAAACTCTTCTGCCAGCAACATAGAGTGTTTTAGTGGTGATAATGCTTATGCATCCATCACTTAAAAATGAATGAAAAGAATTGAATTTTGAGATAAAAATTGAATAAATTGGTCGTGTTAAGGGGATACAAGATAGGAAACTGATATGATGATACATTTTTTTAATACAATTGTATAACATGGCTTGACAGTGATTTATCTATCTCAAAGTAATAACAATTTATATTCTTCTAGAAGTTATATCACACTTGTTTTGAACGTCAAAGATTTGAGATAAGCAACAATCTAGAAATAGACCTTTTATTAATTATTTTCCAAAAAAACTATTCCTTTTAAAATATTGTTAATTACATAATCTTTCTTTCGTTCAACTTCCGCTTGGTGGTGCATAGCTCCTTAAGAAATTTTGCATACGTTGGCACTTACTTAATTGCATCCAACAGAGGTATATTCATTTCCACTTTGCGAAACATCTCCAAAATTTCTTTATCCTTCTCTTCTTTCTTTGACTTCGCAAATCTGCTAGGAAAAGGTAAAGTATTGGATTGAAGTTGAATTGAAGGGTTAGGAATTACCTTTGATTCAGTTGTAGCCTTTTCTGTCTCAATCTTTGCTTCCTTTGCTACACCTGCAATGTTCCACATTCAATTTGATGTGTAAGATAAGACAAGTTGTAAACTAAATAAAATATTTTAAAAGGAATAGTTTTCAGAAAATAATTAATAAAATGTCTATTTCTAGGTTGTTGTTTATCTCAAATCTTTGATATTCAAAACAAGTGTGGAAATTATAATATAGCTTTCAAAAGAATAGGAATTATTGTTACTTTGAGATTAATAAATCACTAGAAAATGTCAAGTCATGTTATACGGTTATATTAAAAAGATATGTTATCACATCAGTTTTCTATCTTTTTAAAACAGACTATAATTTTTCACTCCTCTTAACACGACCAATTTATTCAATTCTTTTCATTCATTTTTAAGTGACAGAAAATTCAATAACTAAAGCACTAAGAGCTAAGAAAATGGAAGAAGAAATAGATGGAAAAAAAAAAATATAAATAACAAAGAAATAAACAATTGTGCAATTGTAAATTGTACTCTTAGTTGGATAGATCTCAATAGGAGGTCAAGCCTTATAGTTGATTTTAAGAATTTGATTTCCACCTGTTCATCTTTTCAATATATAAATTATAATGGTATGCTATTTAAGTATTAGTAATATGATGACAACTTTTTTTTAAAAAAGAAAAAAGAAAATCCAAAAAATGCATCTTCTTGAGAAAATAATAAAAACCATTTTTTTTTTTTTTTTTTTTTTGTAGACCCGGTTATTGTATAAAAAATACAGAGGAAATGAGGAAAAAACCCCACGGCTCTCTTACCTTGGACCGGCCCAAGGAAGCAAACAAAGTAAAAGCCTAAAGGTTAAGGATGCACAATCCTTTACAACAGGCTTAACCAAAATACAGGGTTGGAACAAAAAGAAAGAACAATTTACAATGCAAAACCAAGGCCAAAACATACCAGCCATTTTCAACTTACACAGTAAAGGCCCAAAGTCTCTCTATTCCTGTTAGTAGCAAACAAATCATCCATTAAACCATTAACGACTTCTTCCTCAAACCTCTTATTGCCTTTGACATTATTATTATTATTAATAATCTCATTCTTAAACTATGTTTTATTAAAACCTCTTATTAAATAAAATTATTTCAAGAACACTATTGAACAAACAATCACACGCAAAGATTAATGAAATATTCGCTAAAGCTTATTTAAAGTCTCTTGATAAAAACAAATGTGTAATTGTAAATTGTATTATAACCTGAACAGATTACTAAAGGAGATCAAGTCTTGTTAATTGATAATATGAAATTAATGAGCCAACAATTCCCTATCTTTTCTTTCGTGTATATCTTATCAATAAGTTTGGAAATTGTAATATGATTTCCAAGATAACAGAAATTTTGATTACTTTAAAATGGATAAATCACTGAGAGAGATTAAATTCTGTTACACGGTTGTATTAAAAAGAGTTATCCTATAAGAAATACACAAAATGAATATAGACAACACAAAACAAATCCTAATTTCTTAACCCCCTTAATCCCTTTTATTAATTCTATTTTTTTTAATACCGAAATTCAATTATTTTCTTTCGTTTTCAATTGATGGAGAATTTGATAATTGAAATTCAAGTTGAAATGTCGGGCAAGTTTTCGAATCCTGGAGGCACTAAGCCTAGGAACTGAGAGTTCAAAAAAGGAAAGGAAAAAAGACAAAAAGGGCAATTTATGAGCTTATTCAAATTCTGCCGCTGAACATATATTTCACTTGATATTTATTTACTCAATTTCACATTAAACTTGAATCTAGCGTCATTATTAACAATAATTCTCTATGTTA